GAAAAAATAAGGAACTGCATTTCCACAAAGGTTCATCAGACCATCTGTCTCACTAGAAGACAAAGAACTGGCCAAACAATATATACTATGTATAGTTTTAAGATATTAAAAATACCAAGAATATAAACAAATGTTTGCTAAGTAACTACCAAAGTAACTGTGCATCTACCTATTGGTCAACAGTTCCATTCCTAGAGAAAGCCAAAAGGAAGGAGTTCATATAGCCAACAAACTACACAAGTAAGAATGTTCACTGCAGCTGTATTTTTGCAGCCATAACTGAGGACAACCCAAATGCCTATTAAAAGAATGGATAAATTAAGAAGTAGTTACGGATTAAGCCACCAATGTGGCAATCTGTATTTTCTGATAATAGTTACTGCAGTATGATCCTGAAGGATTTTTTTAGAATCTTGCCTCTCCCAGTCAAGCAACAGGGCCCTTTACAAGACGGGCATTTTACAACTGCCTCAAGTAGTAATTAATGCACAACGGGCATTAATATTACAGAAGTGTCAAGGACAATATAGCTTCTCTAATTCTCTCTTTTTCTTGGAATTCAGCCAAACAGCTCATGTGAGCAACCTCAAGTCACACTGCAAGTGTCCTATCGCCAACTCTCAGACAGAAGCAACCCTTCACACAACACTAGGCTTGCCTTCAAGCAGTCTGACCTGAAACGGAGTGAAGCAGACAAAAGCATTGCCCAAACTGCAGATCTGTGAAGAAAGCAAATAACCCCACTGTTTTAATCAGCACTCCTGAACAATGTTTTAGGTAGCAGGAGTAACTAAAACAAATACTAGACAATAAAAAGAAACAGCTACATACAACAACATAAATGAAATTCACTTACACAATACAATGCTGAATGAAAGAAACCAAACCCAAAACAGTATCTGTTGCATGACATTATTTCTACAAAAAAACTAAAAGATGTAAAACTAATCTATGGGTGATAGAAAATTAAGACCTAGCTAGATACAAGACAGGAAGAGGGTACTGATTGGAAATGATTGTGATAAACCTCTGGGGCACCATAGATACTCTATAGATTGAACTGAGTAAATTACACAGTTAATTACATTATAAAAATCTTCATGACACACATTTAAGACCAGTACACATTGCAGTATGTACACTATATAACTTTTTTTACAGGATATATCCAAGAACTGACAAGATACTAAGGAGAGAGCAATAGTCCAGAAGAGATTAAGGATCCAAAATGGAGATAAGCATAGCACCCTTGGGCTTCTTTATCCCAGGAAATTGCTGCCTGATCACCAAATACCAACAGAAAAAACAACTTGGAAGTAAACTAAACCCAAGCATAAACTAGGGAGTTGGGAGACAAGAGGATGCCTGGGCTCACTGGACAGCCAACCCCGTCTAACCAGCAAGGCCAGGTCAGAGTCACTCTCAAAAAACAAGGTAGGTGGGTTCCTAATGAAGAGTGCAGAAGGTTGACCTCTGATACGCACATGCCCCCACATTCAATCATGTGTGCTAACACCCACACACAAAATAATAATAAAAAATGTCAAAGTTAGGTAAACTCTGTGACTAGTAAAATTTATAATCCCAAACTGAAATAAAAAAGAAAAGTGGAGATGCCATTAAAAAAAAAATCAAAGCAAACCTAGAAAAAAGTTATAAAAATAAACTACCCAGGTAAGACAAAATTTCTAAAACTAGTCTCCACACCTACTTAACTTTTTTGACTTAGTTTCTAAATTTTTATTTCACCTTGTCTCATCTTTCTACACATATACTAATAAATTAAACTGCCTGAAACCAAAGTAAAACCAAGACAAAGAGTGTCTAGAGCAAATGGCTGTATAAATACTGCATCCATGCCATAATACAACATGAATATGCCACCCCTGGTAATATGGCTAACTATAAAATTATATACTGAACCGTTTTAAAATGACAGTCTACCACAACACTCTAGCATTTTTATTATTATTCACTTGTTGATACAGGGGAAGGAAAATTCCAGTGGGGGGATGTAACTTCTGCTACACTCCTATCAATGTCAGGAAGACATAGGTGCCATCTGGATCTCTGTTTTAAGATAACTAAATCATCTCTTTAGGGCCAAACCATGTAAGGAGACACAAAACTCCAGAGTCAGTCTTGATCCTACTACAAGCAAATGAAACAACCTGAATACTTACTAGACATTTTATTTTAGGGTAGATCCTAAACTTTATAGTGTCAAGTAGGGCATGTTTAAATAATGTAGTCTAAGCTGATGAAAACAGAATTAGGATGTGATCAACAAATCCTTACAATCATGTCTGTGAGGAAATCGAAGGATACTTTAGTATTTAGTCCAAGTTTTACAGCTATAGAAACTAACATGTAGCCCATGTGTCCTAAAAGCAGACACTTCGGTAATAGTCTTTTCCAGGTCTTGTGTGACCATAAGAATCAACCAGACTGACGAACTTTCTGTGTCGACTATGAAACAAAACCAAGCCACTTCAGACGATGAGCTTCACACCAAAGATGACAACACAGGCCATTCGGGAACTAGCTGATAGGTAGCAAACACTCTCGTGTAACTACCCCATCCATTCCCTTGACTCTGTTACTATGTACACATCTTTCCTCACCCTCAAAGCATCCTAATGTCACAGAGAAATGCTTTCTAAAACTAAGTCATGAGGTGGTAGAGCTTATAAATGACACTAGCCAGTGAAGAATAGTCTCTGTGACACTAATGACCACACCCTCTAATCCCTGTATGCTACATGGAAGTGTGCTACAGGTCAGACGATCATCAATTGTGATTCTTGTGTTGACTATAAACATGGTAGAAACCTTTTAGAGGGGAAAATGATTCTCTAATATATACTTAGATCACATCTGTAAATGGAAAAATGCTTTTCACAAATCACACTGAAGGGACAAACTGAGTCTATGGTAATTAGACTGAATTGCACTAGTTACAAAACAAGGATGGTTAAGGTAAATTTAAACTCAAAATCCAGAAAATGTCTCATTCTCTCTACCTGAAAGAGCAATTCTCAGTTTCAGTATTCTAAATTATTCAGCTGACTTCTGAACTTCCTTAACATTCCTTAACTTTTCGCCAGGCGTTGGTGGCATACACCTTTAATCCCAGCACTCGGGAGGCAAGGCAGGCAGATCTCTGTGAGTTCAAGGTCAGCCTGGTCTACAGAGCGAGTTCCAGGACAACCTCCAAAGCAATACAGAGAAACCCTGTCCCAAAAAACATTCCTTAACTTTTCACTAATTTTGTTCTCAGTTTGCTACAAGGTTGAACTCACTGGCACTCTTCACCCATCTTTACTGGCTACAAACTGTCACAATAATTTGACATGATGGCAAAGATAGGCCAGGGCAAACTGCCTGGCACTGAAGACTCAGACTGGATCTGCTGGTTCCTGTACAATGCTTAAAGATGATCAGTCAATTTACACCCAGCACCAAGCCTGACATTTCTGACTTGTTCAACCAGACCAGCTGTCCTCACTGAGGGTTACCTACATAACAAAACACTGCTAAGGGAGGGATGGAGGGCAGGAGAGATTGCTCAGTGGTTAAGAACACTTGCTGATTTTCCAGAGGATCCAGGTTTGACTCTCAGCACCCAGGATGGCTCACAACCATCCATGCATAACTCCAGATCCAGGGGCTCTGATACCCTCTTCTCGCCCCCAACGGCAACAGACACACATGTGATGCACACACATAAATGCAGGAAAAAGTCATACACATAAAGTACTAGATCTTGATATCTTAAAAGGAAGGGGGTAATGGATTATACTCAGCAGAACCAAGCACAACCCAGAGCCGTACAGTCTAGTCACAAGGTAAGCAGCAGCCAGCACCAAGGCTCAGGACCCAACTCTGAAAGTCTGGCTTCTTGAATAGCCCTGTGAGAACTCACTGATTCTTTTCCTAAGGACCCTGTCCTTGCAATTAGGGCTGTGTGTTTCCCTCAGAAGTTAATTTACACTGTTACCAGTATAATTCCCTTTTCCATTTCGACTTATAGCTTAATGGCCTGTGGAGAGTACAAACTAAGACCAAACTAAGGAAGGAAAGTGATCCGCGATTGAATTCTTCCACCGAGCATACTTAGGACAGTGTCCTTACCGACTTGCATTCATGTCACATTATTCCTGAAGACTGGGTATTGGCCCGATTCACCGAGCCGTTCCAATTCATAAGGCACAAAGCATATTAAAGTCTTCTAAAAATTCATATGGGGTAGGGCAGATGAATGAGGAAAATCTACTAACGCACACTTTATCCGAAAATGTGATGCCAGCTAACTTTAAAAATAAAGTATCTGTTGATTAAACAGAGGGTGGCTAGATAGAGCCCAGAGATATCCAATGTTCAGCTTATATGAACGTCCCACCGTGGAGTCAGACTTCTCTCATTTGCAAGCATTAGTACACCTGCGAACTACCGTGCTCCCGGAGCTCCAAGCTACCCCGTAAAACTTTGCAAGGGTGCACAGATTTCCAGGCTTTCCAGATCCCTCCCTCACGCCCATCCTCCCCGAGGCTGCTCCAAACAAAGTTCTTGCGGCATCCAGGCAATCTTTCAGGGAACGAAGTTTGCCTGGGTCTTGCCCACTCGCGCTCCCGAAGGACGCAACTGAAACTTGTGAGGGAGACACGTCTCCCCAGGGACCGAAACTCGCACCGGGGGGAGGAGGATGGCGGCCAAAAGGTTCGGCCTCCCTCCCCCGGGGGGGGGGGCGGTGCACGCTGCGCTGGACCCTTCCCGGCCCGGGCCCGCGCCCGCCCGCCTGCCAATCACACCGCAGACCCCCCGACGCGCGCGGGCTCTCGGTGAACCGGCTCGGTCCAGGCCGCACCGCCGCCGCGTGCCCTCTGCCCGGGGCCGGGAATGGCGGCGTCCGGCTGCCTGGGGCCAATTCCGTCCCGGTCCCCTCGCCTTAGACCCCCCTCCAGCCCCTCTAGCAGCGACACGGGAGAAAAGGAAGTTACCTCAGGGCGGTCCCGGCGGCGGCCAGTCGCGGGAGGCCGAGCGGGTCCGGCGCGGTGGCGGCGGCGGCTACCGCAGTGCCCTCCGCCCCATTGTTTCCCTTCCAGGAGGCTCCCGGCAAAGCCGAGCCCGGGAACCAGGAAGTTCCCCGGCGCGACACCTCCTGCCGCCGCCGCTATGGAAACGGCCCCCGCCTTCCCCAGGGCGGCTCGCCCGGGACCCCGCCTCCGCGCCGCCGGCCCCGCCCGCTTCACCGGCCGCCAACAGTCGCCGCTGCGGCCGCGGCGGCCGCCGCCATCTTGGCGCGGGCAAGCTGCCCCTGCCTTCCCGGCGGCACGTGCGCTGCTCCCGCGCTCCCGCCGGGCGCGCTCCCGCCGGGCTGCAAGCAGAGGCCGAGCCCCCCCCAGCACCTCTGCTGGAAGCCGGGGTCCGCGGACCGGACAGCGCCCAGGGATTGCTACAGAACTACAGATGGCCTTGGACCAGTGAGGTGTCTTACACCTGGGAGCAGGCAACAGAGCAGGGGGCGCATTTTGCATCTGGGGCCCAACTGCTTCCCAGCCTTGCCCACTGCACTTGGCTTTCTCTTCAACTCGGTATCTTCATCCGTGAAGTAGGGTAGTAATAGTACCTGCTTCACGGAGTTCCTTCCCTGCACAAGCGAATGCTTGTTGTGTGCACAATGATCATCTGTCAATAGTGGCGCTGTTACAGACACAAGGTCACACAGTCAATTTTCAGGCATTTGTGCCAAGTGTTCAGATCAGCTACCGTGTGTGAGCCTTTTGCTGCCTCAGACGTGTTCAGTGTTCATCTCTGTCCCATCTTTCTCTAGGTCAGCTTTCTTTTTTCGTGTCCTGGAAATTGTCAGGCGTTTTGATCTCCACAGTCTTCCATTAAAAAGCGGCTGTGAAAAAGACATGATGTAAACTATTCCCAACACTATAATTTGCTGACAGTTAAATGATTTATTCAATGGAAGCTACAAAAGTTTGGGTGTGCGAATAACTAAAAGGCTTCTGTGCTTGTTTCCAGGAACTAGAATTACTAAAGCTGGCAACTCTGCACTGTTGTTACTCTCTCCCTAGCTGGTGAAACCTGACACTCATAACTGCATGCTGCGTGCAATTAAGGCCAGAAGAGAAGGAAGGGGGAGGCTGGTTGTCAGTCCTTCCTAGGCATGCAGATTTTAACACCTGTGAAGAGACTGGGTCTTGGATGGCCTCAAAGGCCCTTCTGTCTCTCAAATGTTGTGGTATTAACCACCTTAAAGTGCCGGGGAGGCGGGACTATGAGTGGAACACGGGAGGGGGGGGTGCACACACGAACTTTGAACTGCATCCCAGTTTGAAGACAGTAACAAAAATGTATTCTGATTTCATTTGGGTCTTCATTTAAATCAGGCTCCCAGTTAACTGCTTTTGGTTGTTTTGTTGTTGTTGACTTTTAGTTGTCTTGTTGTTTTGTTTATTCTGGCATGTACAAAATGGAACAACTGGTTTGATGAAAATAAGGTCAGAAGTGGGAAAGACATGGGAAATTTCTCAGCACCCCAATATTTCTCCAAAAGGTATAGAATTCCCAAATTAGGAAATCACTAAAGCCTCTCCAACTGTGACAAGCCCCACCACTTCCATGTCTTTGAACACACATTGTGCCCTGCGTATTGCAGAAGTCCTCCAAAATATGCTTAGGGAATTAAATGACCTTATTAAGATACCTTGGGAACCCCACAGAGGCTCAAGAGAACTCATTCAGAAATATCACTGCAAATACAAGAACACCAATGAGTTGGAACATCTCTGGTCACAAGCTTATTTCACAAACTGAAGTAGAAATTTCACATTATTACAGTAATTATTAGTGTATAATACTACAGGATTAGCACTGTGATCCTGTAGTATAAGTATTTATAAACATTCAATAATGAGGATGGCTGCATTTCACTGAAAACTTACATAAATAGGAACACATGAGCTTTGGGGTAGTAGTTTACCTTCTGCTCTAAAAAAAACCATTAGATTATATTCACTCCATAATTATAGTCTCTCTAACATGCTAGATACCAAGATGTCCTTCAACTGGGAGGGGGAGGGTAAAAGTTTACTGTCAATAAAATACCAAAAAAAAAGTAAAATAAAGAAGAATAAATAGTTTGTATCTCCAATGAAAATATTTCACAAATGCCAAACATTTAGAACTATCTCTCCTATCACATAATGGGAGAAGAGATCGGCATTTGCGTTTCATTTTTGCAAGTTATGTTATACTAAATGACAGTACTTACAATACTGCCAAGGTAAAACTACATGTTTAAATTTCCCACAAGACACCATAATAACTAGGGTCAAGAGTACAAGTTGTGGTGAAAACATGACAATATATGACATGGGGAAATTTTCAAAAAAATCCAACCTTTACTTTCATCTGAATAAAAGGGGACTGTTCCTAGCGTCTCCTATAAACTGACTCTATGCAATGTGAATCCATGGCTCTATGCTCCACTTAGCTTTGGGGGTGAGAAAAAAAACAGCTCACTATGCAGGAGGTGAGGTGAAGGCGAGATTCATCTCACCACCTGCAGTAATTTCTGAAGTTTCCCAGGAATGTTGTGTTGACTAGAATTGTTAGTTCTAATACCACTGTATATGATTCACTGTATATATAAATAAATAATAAATGAAGCAGATCAGTCCATGGACCAGATGCCAATTAAAAAGCCACATCCAAATGGTTCGTATCATTTTCCTTAAAAAAAAAAGTCCTTCCGTTTCACAGAGAAAGTACTGATGGCAGAGCCCAACTGAAGATTCCGTGGATGGAGATGAATAATAAAACTGTTGCATACAGTTTGTTACAGTGATCTGGGATGGTCTTACGACTGGTGTTCTAGGAGATTTGGGAGGCCTCAAGAACATGCGAGCCATGAGACTGGGGAACTTGTCCGTCTCCCAGTCTTCTGTCCTCTTCCGTTCTTTGGTCTAGTCTGCTCTCTGGCCAGAGTCAGTTCCCTCTGAATAAACAGAGAGAGAATGAAAGGGGAAGAAAGGAGGAGTAAGGAAAGAACGTTAGAAGGAAGGGACACAAAGGTGTATCGATAAATACCCAATCTTATGTGTAAAGAGAAGCTTCTAATGTCTTCACATACTCAAACAGATCTGTGACTCAAACACAGTTCAGGAATGACTACTTTCAACTACTGCAGTTGCCGGGCACTGTTTCCTCTTCTCTGCGCTCACAGCCATCCTGTTCCTAATCAGGAAGACAGTTATCATGGCCTGCCAGAAATCTGTGATGAGTCTGGATCACTTTTCAGATGTGTCATTATGTCATAGCTCTGTGTCTGCTGACCTTCCATCTGCCATACTTCAGCTTCCCTTCTGCCACCTCTCAGATGTTCTGCCGTCATGATGATGGTGATGATGGTGATGGTGATGATGATGATGGTGGTGATGGTGGTGATGATGGTGCTGCCGTCATGATGATGGTGATGATGGTGATAATGGTGCTGCCTTCATGATGACGGTGATGATGATGATGGTGATGATGGTGATGATGGTGATGGTGGTGATGATGGTGATGGTGATGATGGTGATGGTGGTGATGGTGGTGATGATGGTGATGATGGTGATGGTGATAATGATGATGGTGGTGATGGTGGTGATGATGGTGCTGCCGTCATGATGATGGTGATGATGGTGATGATGGTGATGATGGTGATGGTGGTGATGGTGATGATGGTGGTGATGATGATGATGGTGATGGTGGTGATGATGGTGATGGTGATGATGGTGATGGTGGTGATGATGGTGATGATGGTGATGGTGGTGATGATGGTGATGGTGATGATGGTGATGATGGTGATGGTGATGATGGTGATGATGGTGCTGCCTTCATGATGACGGTGATGATGGTGGTGATGATGATGATGATGATGATGATGATGCTTTGGTTTTGGTTTCAGTTATTGAGTCAGGGTTTCCCTATGAAGCTCTGGCTGTCCTGGAACTCACTTTGTAGACTAGGCTGATCTTGAACTCACAGAGATCTGACTGCTTCCGCCTCCCAAGTGCTGGGACTAAAGGTATGTGCCACCACATCTGGCTCGCTATGCCATTGTTTTTAATGCATATATTTTATTCATTATGGCAACAGTGTCTTCCTCTACCATGTAGGTCCCAGGGATTGAACCCAGGTCATCAGGATTGACAGCAAGTGCTGCAACCCATGGAGCTGTCTGACCAGTCCCCATTATTTTTTTTAAGTTTCATTAAATGGATAAAATTTAAATATTAAAATGCACACATATAGGAGATATTGAAAAATTTAAATATGACTTCATGGCATTTTGTCCTCATTTTAGGGTGATAAAACATTGGCCTTCGTGTACATAATTTTTAAATAAACTTTTAAACTCTATGTATGTTATATGGTAGTTTTCCAAGGAAACTCCCCAATGAACCACGCCTGCCAATACTCACACACTGTTAGTGACACTCCTTTTATATCTGCAATGGCCCTGTGACTCACTTCTGTCCCCCAAAAAGAGTTTGGTGGAAATGAGGCAGAGTGACTTCTAAGGTGAGAACAGAGGAAGCCTCAAGGTTTTTACCTGAGTCTGTGAAAAACTTAGTGTACTTTCTCTCAGAATTCAAACACTGAGAAATTCAAACACAGGTAAGAAACCCAGGCAGCTTGCACGGGGCATACTAGATAGTCAGTCTCACCTGAGTCCGCTGCCAGCAGCAGCCAACCTCAACTGCTGGCCGCATGAGAGAGACATCCGGTCACTGCACACCTGGAGTCCCAGCTGCACAACAACCTGAGAAACCCTAAGTGGTGACCTTCCCCATGAGCCCAGGTAACAGGAGGAACCATAGAACAGTAATAAACAGCAGTCGTTAGCAATGGAGTTTAGTGGCATTTGTCTCAAACCTGCAGGAAAAGCATGATAAATTAATTAAGAATGAATGGCTCAGTCAACAAAGTGCTTGCCACACAAGTGTGAAAACCCAGGTTCAATCCCCAGAACCTATGTGAAAAAATCAGGCATGGTGGCACACTCTTCCAGTCCTAGTGCTGGGAAGGTGGGGACTGTCAGATCCCTGGGGCTTTCTGGTCAGCCATCTTAGCCCA